CATCAATTGAATAAAAAGGAAGCGAACAACTTAAGCACATGTTGCATATATCAATTTCCGTTTGATGACATGTGACTGGTAATTTTATGCATGAGGCGTGAGTATGAAACCGTCCCCTGCATGTGAGACACTTAATGCTTTTTTGATTTTTACTGATTTTAAGAGAACAAGTAGAACATAATTCCTTATCTAAACTTAGACTGGCCATATCTGGTTATGTATATATGATTAAAAGTGAAAAATAACTCTATACAAATATTAGTAATGTTTGAACTCGACATTGTTTATATACAACCTGTCTCGAACCATACGCTCTCTGTGACCTTGCGCTTTCGCCTTCTTCATTGCGGGATATAATGTTTGTCTAATCTTTTCGATTTCTTCGGGAAATTGTTCCGCGATTCCAATGCGTGTGCCTCTGAGTTTCCTGGCATTCATTCGAATATGTTCGTGATCTTGAAAATAGTTAAATTTCACAACGATTGCTCTCGGCTTACGGTTGCTATCACGCTTACTTCCGACTCGGTGAGATCGATCTATTTTAATCTTCTCTCTGGCATCAGGGATTTGCAAATTTTCTTCGAGGATTTTATAAATCTTGTCGCTCATGTTTTCTTTTTCATCTTCTTGAACATTGTAAAAGAGTAGGTTGTCACGCATGGATCGAGCCTTGAGATCAATCACGCTGTCTAGCAGATGTTGATTTGCTTCCTCTAACACGCTGATTTTTTCTTTGTTTTCCTAATCAGATCTCTTTGATTCTACCACCTCTTCCTTTAACTCTTTCATTTCGGCGTGAGCGAATTCAATTGAATTTTTCATCTCTGATAACTCTCGTTCAACATAAACGATGCGTTGCTTAATTTCATCCAACGTGTCTAATTTCGCCATGACGGCTTTGATCATATCGAACATTTCATCAATTCTGTCCATTCCTGGTCGTTTTTCTCCGTTTTTTCCTGGCAATCTTCTTGGTGTTTCATTAACTTTAGAGGCATTCGTGTTCTTTTTATCAATTGGAGTATTTACGGTAAATTTTTATTCTTTTTGAGCGCTGCTTCTCAAAGCGTGCTTCGACATGATATATGATATATGATCAAGGTAAGTAGACGATGCCTTAAGTCTCCTTTTACTTGAGTAGTGTTTACAAGTATGTACTTAACAGTTGACCCATTATTACTAATATTAACCTAAATATGTTGACCTAATATTATTATTACTGTAACACAATATGCCTGACCGAAACTTATCATGTCAGTCAAGTGGGTTAATAATATTGTTTTGTCTTTTCAATATAACTCATTTTCAAGTTTGTTATGGCTTTAGGATTCAGATCAGTGGTCTGAATCACAGTGAACTGTGCAAAATTTGTTGAATTTTCATTTTAATACTCTTATACACATGCCTTTAAACTGAAATGGCAATAATCCAATAAAAATTAAGTTTGTTTGTTACTACAATTGTCTCAAACATTTTTATGTAAATTATTAATAAGTAATAGCATGGTTTCTCATGAAATTTGGATAAACATGCACTCATGAGTTTTTCAAAGACCTCAAATAGCACTCGTTCTTCGGACTCATGCTATTTTGAGGTCTTTGAAAAACTCCCTTGTGCATGTTATATCCAAATAGACCATATGTATAATGACGTCACAAGGCTTGATGCCAGCAAGGAATGCGATGACTACTAAGACCAGCATTCCTCGCTGGCATCAAGCCTTGTGACGTCATTATGCATAAGGTCTATTGCACTCTAAACCATGCTATTACCTATACAAACAATTTAATTCTGCATACTGTATCACTGACTTTGTGAATTATGTTATGTTTGGATTAGTCCATTGGTCATGTGGTCATTGATGTCCACATTTTGTAAGTTAGTCACATAGCTATACAATATATATGTGCTGCATATTTTCTTCTGCAGAGCCTCCTGCACCTGCAGGTCAGCATGTTGTAGACGAGAATATTCCAACAGCAACAAAAGAGCCTTCTCTTCAACAAACGATTGCAGATGATGGCAAGGTCATTAAAATGGAGTGTGATCCTTCAAGGACCACACTTAAACGTGAGTTTAAAGATTAATTTAGTGTGATAGACTGTCTTGGAAAAAAACAATGATGAGCAGCAGCAACAAAACAAGAAACAATGTAACAAGTAAGTTTTGAATGGATCCTATTAATCTGAACTTTTAAAAAAGATCACCATTTACGTACTGTACTGTAGCACTTACATTTATTAATCTGCGCAAAGAGAAGAGTGTCATATGTGTTGTATGATGTTGCTTGCATTTCCTTTTTATAACAATGCTAAATATTCGCCTGGATTTTATCATCTAGGACCTTCAGGAGAAATTGGTTAAAGGGCTTTCAAAACGATCAAAAGCCGACCTTTCCGATGTAGATTCCTTGGACATTGCACGATTTGTGTCTGTGGCAGGAATTGATGATGACACTAAGTTTAATTTAATCAACAATCACTGGAAGCCACCCCCAGATTTCAACTTTCCCCCCTCTGAAACTTCACACCGAAAATTTTGTGCTAGTTGGCTACATCGCTCGTCTTGGCTATGTTATTCCAAGTTGTATAACGGAGCTTTCTGTCTTTCTTGTGTTTTGTTTAGCCATCAAACTTGACATAACGGCTTAAAATTATTCAAGGAACCCTTAACCAACTGGCAAAGTGCGGCAACAGGACTCGAACAGCATCAGAAACAGTCGGTTATTCATCGTGATTCCATGTTGCGTTTGGTGCAGTTTAGAAGCATGATCGGTTATTCATCGTGATTCCATGTTGCGTTTGGTGCAGTTTAGAAGCATGATCACAGGTAAACCAAAGGCATATTATATGAGCAAACCGATAACATGAGAAGTGCCTGCATTCAATACAATAGAGATATCCTTAGTTCTATCACCAAAACTGTGGTCTTGGCTGGCAAGCAGAATCTCCCATTAAGAGGACATTGAGACGACTCCCAGCATCACGCATCTCCCGATCCTGGAAACTTTCAAGCCTTTTTAGATTTCCGAGTGGATTCAGGTGACACAAAGCTTAAGCAACATTTTGAAACAGGGAAGAAGAATGCTACATATCGTTCGAAGACGATACAGAATAAGCTAGTGAAAATCTGTGGGACCCAAATCCGAGACAAAATAGTGTCAGAAATCAACAACAGTAATTGTCCTGTCTATTCGGTTCTAGCAGATGAGGAAACCGATTGTAGTAGTATTGAACAAATGCCAATTGTCTTGTGTTATGTAGATTCTAGCAAAGAAATTAACGAACGGTTTGTTAAATTTGTACAATGCGAAGGGGTGACGGGCGAGGCATTAGTGAACAACATGGAAGATACATTGCAAGAACTCAGCCTACCACTTGGAAATTACCGTGGCCAAGGTTATGATGGTGCCAGTGCAATGTCCAGTCAATCGAAAGGAGTTTCTGGTCGGATTTTGAAGAAGAATCCAAAAGCATTGTATGTCCATTGCTCCAGTCATTGCTTGAATCTTGTTGCCAAAGCATGTCAGCTTCCCTCAGTAGTCCAAATGCTAGGATGTGCAAAGAAGATTACAAGTTTTTTCAGTCCCTCTCTTCAACGAATGTAGTGTTTGAAGAAATTCAAAGAGATTGGTTTGAAGTGCCAAAAGCTGAAAGCTCCTTCCACAACATGCTGGGTCCAGCAGGTATTTTCCTTTGATGGCATTGTGGAGTCATTTGAAGCCATTTGCGAAAGTTTAAAAGTACATGAAATTGAACGAAAATGACGATTTCAAAAACTCAATTAGTGATGCTATGATGTATTACAAATCAATAATGTTTTTTGAATTCATCGCATCTATTGTCATTACATCAAATGTCCTACATCACACTTTATCCTTGACACTTGAACTACAACCAAGAAAGATCAACATTGTCAAGTCCCTCAAGCAGATTAATCTCCTAAAGGCACATATGAAAAAATTCAGTCGATGAAATATATTACAATGAAATCCTAGAGTTGGCAAATAGAGTGAAAGTAAAAGAGAAGTTTCCTCGGATATGCACAGTTCAAACCACTTGTGAGAACTATCCTGTTACCACTGGCCACGATTACTATCGAGTGAAATTAACCATACCACTTCTTGATCATCTCATTGAACAGATTGAATTTCAATTTCCATCGGAAATGTGTAACCTCTACAATGGCTTCTATGTTATTCCTGGTATCTTCCTCATGTGTAAAAACGTTGACTCAAAAACGGAATTCATTAACTTTGTTTCACCCTACAAAGATGATATGCCCAACTATCAGAGCATGCATGGAAACAAGGCTTCGAACAAGTCACATATGATTCAGTTGCTGATACCCTGAGGAAATGTAATAAACTTGTGTTTCAAAATATTTTTACCGCTCTAAAGATTCTCGCTGTCAAACCGGTTAGTACATGTGAATGCGAACGATCTGTTTCAGCTCCTTGCTGAATGAAAACTTGGCTATGAAGCACAATGGTTAATGAGAGATTGAATGGGCTTGCTCAGATGCATATCAATGATGATATAACCGTTAATGTTGAAGAAGTCATAAACACTTTCACCAGGCAGAACCCTACAAGGATGCAATTCCTTGACATCCTTGAGGACAATGAAGATAATAGGCAAACCAGCACTTTCAAAAAGTAGTCTGACTGCATGTTGTGCTTTGAACATTACTATTCGATGATCCTGCCATGGTGCTGTGTTTGAAAGATACTTTACTATGAAAATTATTACTTGATGATCCTGTCATCATGTTGCATTTTAAAGATACTTCAGGGACCGTTCATTATTTATACCCTGGGGGGGAGATTCTTATGTCATATACAAAAATCTTGTATCCCTGCCCCCTCTTGATGATCTAAATGTTGAAGCCCCCCCCCCTATAAAATACTGAAAAATCTATACACACACCCCCCCATTTGTCTGAATGTTTTAATATTGTAAACTCAGAACACTGTATAAGTCAAGACCCAGAACTATTGTTTCCCTTGCATACTTTTGCTTTAAAATTATGGAGTGGCTATTTGTACTGGAACAATACACCGAGTTTGATTTGCTATTCATACTGCAGTTGGAATATTTAAGATAAATAGACCCCAACCCCTTTGTTGTCCCTTCTCTAACCCGAACGAATAAATGTCTAATAAACAATTTGAAAGTTAAAAAAGTTGGGGAAAATTTTTAATATTTTAAGAAAAATTTCTAAGTCAAACAGAAAACCGACAGCTAAAACTAAAATTCGCTTCGCTCAGTGGTTGCAAAAAACTATTTTATATTACTAATTTACGAAATGTAAGAATTGGGTGCCATATTCCAGTACAAATAGCCACTTTGCTAAAATTATAATATCTCTATTACAACAACAATAACTTCCTATAATAAGTTTTTGCGATTGCAATTTCTTATATAACGTGTTTTAATAATTCCTTTGAGAAGTTGCCGTATTGGACATTGTATTTTACATTCAAGTTATTTATCAGGGTGTGCCAAACTATATAAAGTATAACAAACTATTAATGCACATGTTACACAGAACTTAAACTGGCATTTAACACAGTTTTTTTAGTTAATAGTTAGTTCAATTGGCCAGTTTAACCCTTTAAGTGGCAATGCGCCGTACTTTATTATTTTACTTTTTAATGCCAGACTATTTTATTCTGTCTACTATGATAGACGATTTTACTTGTCAGGGGGGAGAGTGCTGCCACTCAATGGGTTAAGGATATATATATATATATATATGCTAGCTTTAAATTTGCGCAATTTAATTTGCGCACCTTGTTGAGACAAGTAATTTTCTGTGTTCGTTTGGTTTGTTTAATAGAACTAATAACAATTAAGAGCGGTTGACTGTAATAGTCAGGGTAAGACGTGTAAAATGAGAAAATTCAAACTCGTTCAAACTTTGTCAGAATATAGGCCTATATGAAGTATTAATGTTGTGAAAGTTTTATTTCGATCGGATAAATATTGAAGGAGAGAGACGTCGAAATTGGTTTTCCCAGGCCACTTTCGATTTTTAGAGGTCATTTTACGGCACTACTAAAATTGCTCTATTTTGCGTGTTAATGGGAATATTCCACAAAACATGATTTCGTTTTATAAATTAGAGATATTTATTGATTAGCAGACGAAATTTAGAGACATTTCTGTAAAAAGTGAATATTTTACAGATTTTCTTAATTGTTTTTGTTTTCGAACCTCTTTATTATATGCCATATTAGGCCGCAAATATCTCCATTGTTACATCGATTCAGACAAAAAATTCATAACCAGATCAAAGAAATATGTTTTCCCTTGCTATTGATCAAATAAAATTTTTGGGCAACTTAGAATTGAATTTTTAACTAATTTTTTCGTAACCCCTATTTGACCGGAATAACCGTATGTTAATATAATCAGCGTCAAGTCATGTAGTTCAATAAATAACCAAAGAGCTCGTCAAAAGTGTTTATTTCTTCAAGTAAACAAGCCTAGGCCTATAAAATTACCTTTGCTAAAGCTGTACGATTGGCTGAAAGCATTTAGGTCTAAATCACACTAGTTACAGTCGCTTCTTGTTCAGGTAATGCCCGATAGCCAGTGCCGCAGATTTGGTTTGAAATTATATTTAGTAGATGGTAGTAGATAGTATATTTGAACTTCCATGGCAGCATACACTGAATTGCAGAAGTTTTACAATATGATTAGGTAGATCAAACGGACTGACGTGAAGCAGACCAAGGTGTAGACTTTGAGCTTACAAATGGCGCTTGAGCAGCCGCTATTAGTCCATACCTCATTAATGATCTGCCTCCAGACCTTATGACCTTATGTGCCTAACCCACCCTGTCAACTTTCCCTGTGGGAGGAAACACGGAGTACCCGGAGAAAACCCACAACTTTCGGCAGAGCGTTGACTTACTCTTTTCACATTAGGACTGGGTTCCAGTCACAATGAGAAGTCCTCATTGAGATTCGAACCTGCGACCTTAGAGGTGAAAGGCAAGTGCGCAGGGATATGCCGCGATAAGTATAGCAAGTATATTTTCTCTCCCTCTCCCATAAACTCGTGTTCTCACATAAATAGTGCACACGCTTTTTGTAAAAAACATAGGCCATTTGCAAGGTCATACGATGCAAACGTCGCATTGTTTTGATGGTTTTTTAGTCGTATTTCCGGTTGGGTAGCTCACACGATTGTCTGAACAAAAATATAGACTAGCCATACCTTTCGCTGAAAATAACTTCGACCCTTTCAAACATATCGTCTTTGTAATAGTCTTGTTCGAATCCCCATCAAAAACACTATTTAGCAGGTTATTTGCAAGCCTATATCTTCAAATTTGCATCTTTTATCACGGTATTACCATTTCTTCTCCGGCTGTGAGCTCGAGGCTCGAAGTAATTTGATAGTATACAATCGCATTTGACTTTCAAACTCCCATAAATCGCTACAATGTTAATAATGACTATAACTATCGTTTGGAATTAGTTGATCTTTTATTTCTGAATCGAATGGTGGTATTTCTGTCTTCATTAGGCATAGCATGTACTGATCCGAAGATATAAAATTTCTAGCCACGTCAACCTCTTGAGGATGACCTCGCAAAGAGTTTTAATTTAATTAATATAAACACAACAGGTTCTACTTTTAAGAATTTAATGTTCGATTATATCGTTTGAATTCATTCGTCTGACTCGTCACTGTTGCCAAACCAAGTATCCCAGTCACTTAGTGAAAAAGATAGTTCACTTTCCGTTCCGATAGTTCACATTTTTCTTCATCCGTTCTAGTTCTTCGGGAAGCGTACGGCCTCCGAGCACTTTGATTGGGTCTTCATAATCGAATTTTAGTACTGGAATCTTTGTATATATTTGATAGGTCAAAATGTCCGACCAGAATAAAGTTGATCGGCCATTTGTTGTTTTTGTTCAGCAAATGGCTGATTGCCGACCGTTATAATCCACACTGATGTTAGACAAAGTAAAATAATAAAGTAGGGCGCATTGCCACTTAAAGGGTTAAAATATCTCGGTAATTGTTTTTATCAGTTACATTTCGAAACTGTCTGCAAAAGTGTGATGTTGGTTACCATATTGGAAAATGTGCTTCTACTATAAAACTCAGTCTGGTTGATTCGATTTGGCGAGCCTGCCCATCTAAAGAAGCTCATGTAAACAGACATTCATCCAGGGAAAGCAAGCTATAGCCGGGCTACCTGGGCTGGCTTTCCTCCATATTGACCATATAAGCAGCTCCTCACACATGTTTTAGGGTGACCGATAGGAGGGTTTAATACCATAGCAAGCACATGTCATACATTGGGTATAAATATTGGGAGATGGGCTATACAATGCTATCTATATGCTATTAATTTGACTTCAAACAAATCACATAATTTGTATTTATGTGATTTGTAAGTATACAATGCATGTGAACTATAAATGGCAAATATTTCACAGGAAATATAGCATACACGTATATCACATAAATAAGCTATACGATTTTCTTAAAACACAGATAAGTAGAGTGTAGATTAGATTTATACACTTCTGCTAATAGAAATTAATCGAAAATTTACAACTGAACGTTTAGAGGCCTTCGGCAAAAAAGTATTTAATACAAATACAAGCCTTCGATTTAAAAACATAACTATACAGTATATCAAGTAACAATCCGCATACAAATGAGTAAATACACAATAGACATACCTTTGAAAACAAATTCCATGTATTTTATTAGGTCTTTGGAACTTTATAAGTGGAAAATTTGAATAAAAATCCTTTCCTCTTTGAATGTTTGCAAAAGATCGAACTTAGCGCTTGTAAGCTTGTTATCAACAGATCGAATTACTACAACACGTGATATATTCTAAGCATGTAATTGGTTGAAAAATAGTTGAAATTCTGGAACTTCCACTTGTCGCAAATTATATTCCGCAACAGAACATTCCACAAGTTCAAATTACAGATTAATAAATACGCAGCAAATAAAGGATATAGATTAATTTGACGAGAAAAACTCGCTGACAATTTCTGGCTACATTCGATAGCCGCGTTTGCGATTCAACAATAAGAATCCGATATACTGGTAATATACAGCAACCTGACTTGGCAATATACGAATGAAAAAGCGCATCAATCAGCTAAATCTTGTGATGATTTTACACGAAATTGCAGCTTTTTCACTATACGAATTTGTATAGAAAATACCGCCCTAATTCTACAGTATTTGAATAAATAAATACTGTAGATTGGAATATAGGTTAGAGATCCTTGCATGGAATATTTCTGTGCCTTTATGAAAAATGTGTAAGTTAAAAAGGTGTGTTTGTTCCAAAGGTGTGCTTTAATTAGCAAATCTTTTTTGAAGGTGTGTTACAAAAGCACACCTTTCACCAAAAGATGTGCTTAATTTAACAACGTCAAAGGTGTGTTATTTTAAGGTGTGTTATTGAAAAAAGGTGTGCTATTTTGGGGCACAAAAAAAGATGTGTTAGTAGAAAAAGGTGTGTTATTGGAGAAAGGTGTGCTATTTTAAAAGGTGTGTTATCTTCCAAAGGTGTGTTATCTTTCAAAGGTGTGTTAATTGAGCACACCTTACCCTTACTCGAAAGGTGTGTTAGCTAAAGGTGTGTTACAGAACACACCTTTTGTGTACACAGTGTTCTGCTCAGCACACCTTGCCCTTACTCGAAAGGTGTGTTAGCTAAAGGTGTGTTACAGAACACACCTTTTGTGTACACAGTGTTCTGCTCAGCACACCTTGGTGTGTTTTGTAGCACACCTTGGTGTGTTTTGTAGCACACCTTGGTGTGTTTTGTAGCACACCTTGGTGTGTTCAGTAACAAGAAAACACACCTTGTGTGCTATTTTAGCACACCTTGTGTGCTAAATAACACACCAAGGTATGTTGTTTAGCACACCTATTTTTAAGAGTGTATGAGCTGATAGCCGACGAGGTGCGTAGCACCGAGTCGGCTATCAGCCATATACGACGAGAGCGAATGGTATAATTGTTTTATAATATAGTCTAATATAGCCATTAACTGAGGCAGTAATTAATTATTCACTGTTACAATCTGTTGACAATTTGTTCGGCCAAAAACCGCTTGAAAATTGAAATACTTTTGTTTTACAACTCGAAGACGAAGTGAAAGAAATAGTTTTAGAACTTCTATATCTCACAGGAAAGCTCAGATATATTATACAGATGTTTGGTACTATAGTAAGTGCTTGTTGACTGCAAATTCATTTGTTGTTCATTGCAAACTTTTCTGAACAATTTATATTCTCAATGAACATGTTTTTTTCGCTGTTGTTTCGGTATTAATTCTTTAAAAAACTTGTATTTAAACTAATTTCCACGTAATAAATGTATTTTGCTAACCTGTCAAATTTTTTTTGACAGTTTTTCCTTGTACTATTATGTTTCTCAAAGCGAATATTTTCTTTTTTCTGCTTTGTAAAGCTCATGTAGTTTTTGGACCGCCATCTTGTTTTTCGCTACTCGCCGTATATGAGCTGATATACGGCGAGTAATTCAACCAATCAGATTGCAGAACAGCTCATATACGGTGGATGACTATATTATAAATATATAGTTTGTTTGTTTTCAGCCAGTCACTTACATTATTTAAGTCATCATTAGCATGTGTTACTATTTCTCGAATGGATGTTCCTGTCGTAGTCTCGACTGTCGAATCGATGTTTGTATAATAATATTTTAAGATTGTTGAGTGGAATGCAAGGACCGGTTGTAACACCATTGCCCTAACGTTGATCAATGGGAAAATTGAATACTCAGGTAAAACATTTGTATACGTTATATGATATTGATATATTTTATTAATTAATGCTAAAATTTATCTTATTTTCAAATCTTATTCATTCCAGCATTGTCGTTCATTGTGTACAAGCAGCAGTGTTTAGGTTTTGACTATAATCTTAATATACATTGTTGTCTCTCAAAAGATTCAGACAGGACCACGTGAAAGGTTGTAGTGCCAGCAGTTGCTGGGCCAGACCTTTCCAAGGGCCCTATGATGTAATATAAATTGCATCAAACTCTCTCTCTCTCTCATGCTAACTAATAATGAGTAAGTGGACGAGGTGATAAGCAAATTCTCACTTATATGTAAATTGTTAATAGCAATATGCGTGTTTCGTTATTGAATAGATGCCGAAAAAGAAATATAAAAAAGGGCCCCTTTACTGGGTCTTTTGCCAGAAAATACGACAAGAGGCAACTGGCGTCCTTGCAAAACAGGGTAAGAAATTATTTGTATTTAGACTACATGACAAAACACTATACGCTATAGAACTATGAAAGCAACAAAATCTTATTTATGTTAATAATATTTTAAGCTTGTTGAGTGGAATGCAAGGACCGGTTGTAACACCATTGCCTAACGTTGATCAATGGGAAAATTGAATACTCAGGTAAAACATTTGTATACGTTATATGATATTGATATATTTTATTAATTAATGCTAAAATTTAACTTATTTTCAAATCTTATTCATTCCAGCATTGTCGTTCATTGTGTACAAGCAGCAGTGTTTAGGTTTTGACTATAATCTTAATATACATTGTTGTCTCTCAAAAGATTCAGACAGGACCACGTGGAAGGTTGTAGTGCCAGCAGTTGCTGGGCCAGACCTTACCAAGGGCCCTATGATGTAATATAAATTGCATCAAACTCTCTCTCTCTCTCATGCTAACTAATAATGAGTAAGTGGACGAGGTGATAAGCAAATTCTCCCTTATATGTAAATTGTTAATAGCAATATGCGTGTTTCGTTATTGAATAGATGCCGAAAAAGAAATATAAAAAAGGGCCCCTTACTGGGTCTTTTGCCAGAAAATACGACAAGAGGCAACTGGCGTCCTTGCAAAACAGGGTAAGAAATTATTCATATTTAGACTACATGACAGAACACTATACGCTATAGAACTATGAAAGCAACAAAATCTTATTTATGTTAATAATATTTTAAGCTTGTTGAGTGGAATGCAAGGACCAGTTGTAACACCATTGCCCTAACGTTGATCAATGGGAAAATTGAATACTCAGGTAAAACATTTGTATACGTTATATGATATTGATATATTTTATTAATTAATGCTAAAATTTAACTTATTTTCAAATCTTATTCATTCCAGCATTGTCGTTCATTGTGTAGAAGCAGCAGTGTTTAGGTTTTGACTATAATCTTAATATACATTGTTGTCTCTCAAAAGATCCAGACAGGACCACGTGAGAGGTTGTAGTGCCAGCAGTGGCTGGGCCAGACCTTACCAAGGGCCCTATGATGTAATATAAATTGCATCAAACTCTCTCATATTAATCTGACACTGCAATCGAGCAACGAAAAATTCGTTGGCTCGAGCAGGATTTGAACTCGCATCTTCGGGTATCTAGACCGCCGCTCTACCTACTGTATTGAGCTATCGAACTTATCGAGTCAACAGGGATTGGTAGCGAGTGTTATCCAATTTAAGTGCACGAAATATTTTCGTGACGACTTAACGCTTGTGTTGGAGGACGCGCAGTGTTTCAATTCTATTTCAGAACCATCCTCAGAGATAGGAAAACTAGTTCATATTAATCTGACACTGTAATCGAGCAACGAAAAATTTGTTGGCTCGAGCGGGATTTGAACTCGCATCTTCGGGTATCCAGACCGCCGCTCTACCTATTGAGCTATCGAGTCAACAGGGATTGGTAGCGAGTGTTATCCAATTTAAGGTGGCTCCCTAGGGTTTTTTAATTTACTACACTATAGTATTCAGGAGACTCCTGTTTCTTTATTTTACATGATATGAGGACGAAATTTAGTGGACACATTGATAATGTTCTCCTGAACATTACAAATTGCAATTTTTGTGTTAAAAATGTGTTGTCATGGCAACAGCATGCTTAGAATAAAGCACAAAATTTGTCTTTTTCAGGTCATTTTAAAAATTCCCTTCGGTGAAATTTTTTAAAACTTTGCATAAAAGATAATACTTGTATAATGATTTTTTCCCCTTAATTTTTAAAAAATTAAATCGATACGTTTCTTAGAAAATTTAAAAATCGTGAAAAATCAATATTAAAAATTTTCCCTTCGATTTAATTTTTTAAAAAAAAGATATTGCACTTGTTGTCCCGGTACTAAAAAAATGTGCAAAGTTTTAAAAAGTTTTACCAAAGGAAAACAGAGAAATTTGGGTTTAATTTTGGCAATTTTTACCAGATTTTTACGCGAACAATTTAATACCCCAACTGACGTGTACACACATTCTGCATAAAACAACAAGACATGACTTTTTTGAAATCACAAAATATAAATTATGTTTGATATACTGTTTATAACTGTGTCGGTTAATGGTCAACTAAGCGTGGATTATACATGTAAAATTGGCAAAGATATTTAGGTAATTACTGGTTATGATTTCTTGGTATTAATTTGCAAAATGTTTGTCAAAATTCGTCCCGTGCGAGTTAATACATACGTCGGATGTTTTCGCAAAATGCCCGTTCAAATTTCAGTTTTTATGGTGGTATGTTTGGAGTTTCGGACCTGTTCATTTCACCCGTAGAGGGCTCATTATTTAAGTCATCTTTATTGTCATAAGTGCTGCTAGATTGTGGAGAAAACAGTGCAAATTCTTGAGAAAACTTTATATCATATCCCAATGTTCGCGATCAAACCTCGCGTACGGCGGTTCAAAAAACTTCCAGAATGCCGCTTGAAAAAAAACAAGTTTACATTATCTTCTTTTGAAACATCACATCCAAGTATCGTTTTGGCTTTTGGAACTCTTTTTATGCTTTCAACTAAAGAAAAGTTCACAGTTTTGTTTCAAAAAAGAGTTCCATATAAAAACACAATGTTCGTTCGTATTTCGAAGTCACACAAGTTTTAGTTTACATATATACGAAGAACGTAACTCCCGGAAATAAAACCCTAAGGAGCCACCTTAAGTGCACGAAATATTTTCGTGACGACTTAACGCTTGTCTTGGAGGACGCGCAGTGTTTCAATTCTATTTCAGAACCATCCTCAAAGATAGGAAAACTAGTTTCATATTAATCTGACACTGTAATCGAGCAACGAAAAATTTGTTTGCTCAAGCGGGATTTGAACTCGCATCTTCGGGTGTCTAGACCGCCGCTCTACCTATTGAGCTATCGAGTCAACAGGAATTGGTAGCGAGTCTTATCCAATTTAAGTGCACGAAATATTTTTGTGACGACTTAACGCTTGTCTTGGAGGACGCGCAGTGTTTCACTGAAACACACATAGTTAATACGGTTTTCCTCCGTGATTATTAAATGTGTCACACGTGCCAGATAACATGGAATATTGTTTAGATGTAATATTTCACATCTCTTGAAAGTTGATTTCTCATCTCGGTAACGAATCTGGTATTTTCATGAGTTGCTCATGGTGGATATGCATCTTAAGTTTCAATTGCTGTAAAATATGATAGTGTGGGAAAGTCTAGGGATATAGACGGACAAGCGACTATGCATGTTGATATCTAGAGATAGAGACGGACAGGACATTATGCATGTTGATATGTAGGGATAAATAGGGTTATAAAAACACGTGTGAGAATTTATCCAAGATGGCGGAACGTTGTTGTTTTTCGAGAGCATTTATTTAGTATAAAAATAGCATGTTTTAGATATTAAAAAGGAACAAAACCAATCGTAGGTCTTTATTGTCGTCTCATAAAGCGATTACCGACAAAGTGGCACCTCTGACGTGGATGAGAACTGTGATTCTAAGCGAAAATCTCGGGAAATTTGTGTGAAATTTGTGAAAATATCAATGTCAAGATCATACAGCCCCGCTTTGCATTTATAATAGAACACAATGTCCTTTATTTCCAGCCAATGTGAGATAGGAATCAAGTTTAATTTCTTTAAGCGATCCTAGTAAGACGACTCGTAGTCTTGCAGAATAACTTTCGTGGCGCAACGTTGAACACTCTCAAGACGTAGCAGATCAGAGGATGTGGCGCCCAGACTTCAGAGCCATGAGAGAGCTGCGATCTAACAAGAGTTAAATACAGAAGACGTCTGCAGTTAACGTTCGCGAGGTAGAAACTATTTCGCCGAACAAACTCGAGCATCTTGTTATCTTTCGATATCAAGTCATTTATATGCGATGACTATTTTAAACTTTAGCTCACTAGTGTAATAAGTTGTTTACTCAGGCAGCCATATTGGACAACCACAGGTCGCCCCAGACCTCTAAGTATCATGCTACATCTCCCTTTCTTTAGCAACGTTAGCAAATCCCTAACATAATTAATCATGAACTAGAACAAGTCAAAATATTAAGTTTTTTAAAGGTTTATATACTGTTCGCATCTGTCTCCAGTTCATTTCTTCTCTAGTATTTCTCCTTTCTCTTCCTGCGACAGTAAATGTTAAAATGTTAAATAGTCTTTATTATAAGTGTATCAGTGTATATGGCAATGTTTTCTTTATTGTTCAGATGTATACCTAACCTGTTCGACCAAACCGTGAAGTCACCAATCCTGCTTTCTCCGACAGGTTGCTAGTCTCAACTTGTGTGGTTTGTCTTTCACTTTGTACTTCTTGTTCACTGCTGGCTGGTCTTGTTTCACCAGACCTACGAGTTGATCTTGTCTCCACGTTTGTGGAACTTGGTTCTGAAATTTTCATCAAATGTGATCGATTTCGCCTTAAGACTCTGTTGTTGTTATCTGTTATCAAGTATATGATCTTGGAGCGATCTCTGTTTTAACTTTTGCAGGTTGCCAGTTTGCTTGTGGGTCTGTTTTTGCCATGACGTGATCTCCTTTGCTTAATTTGGGGAGCTATGCGGTGTGCTGGTCATAGTATCTCTTTTGTCTATCTCGTTCCTTCTTAAGATTCGTTGTAACATTTTCAACTACTTTTGGCTTCAGAAGCTGGTCGCTGACTGGCAACAAGGATTTTGTTCTACGACTAAAAGTCGTTGAGCTGGTGAACCAAGGTCGTTGTTTTTCGGTGTATTGCGAAGCTCGAGGATTGCCAAATTGGGATCTGTTCCTTCCTTGCGTGCCTTCTTTAGGACTTTCTTTAAGGTCTGGATTGTGCGTTCGGCAAGACCGTTGCTCTTCGGGGTAATGTGGACTCGATGTCTTGTGTGTGAAAATCCATTCTTTTGCAAATTGCTTGAATTCTGCATTGTCGAATTGGGGTCCATTGTCCGAGATTAAAACATCTGGAATGCTGTGTCTTGCAAAGATGGTTTTACAATGCTTAATTATAGTTGGTGTTTTCGTACTCGTTAGCTTCATTACCTCAAAAAAGTTTGAATAGTAGCCCACTAATAGAAGGTAGTTTTCTTTGTACAACTCAAACAAATCCGCGCCTACTTTTGACCAAGGTCTGTCCGGTATTTCATGAGGTAACATAGGCTCTTTACATTGGCTGTTTCTGTGCTCCAAACAGAGTGAGCATTTGGAAACCATTTCTGTTATTTGCTTATTCATACCTGGCCAGAATATAACATCTCTGGCCTTACGTAATGTTAGTTCTATGCCAAGATGTGCTTGGTGAAGTTTCTCTAATGTGATCGCCCTTTCGCTGGCTGGAATGATTAATTGTTCTCCTCGAAAAATGAGACCGTCATAACAACTCAGTTCATCGCCATAGCTCCAGTAAGGGCAAGTCTCTAATGGTGCGTCTGACCTGTTAGATGGCCAACCCTTTTGGATCGTCGTTTTCAGTGCTTGTAACTCTGGATCTTTTTCAGTAGCATTTCGTATTTGATTTAATTTTTCTTCTGTTGCA